CCCGGATTGCAAGAGGGTGCAGGCCGGGCTGAGAAAACCCCCCTCCCATGCACGAATTTTGTGCACTGGGCCTCTCGTTATATAATAAACTGGTAATGTAAGTAGGAGTTTCTGAGTTCTGTGAGCTATTCTAGCAAGTGATTCAATTCAAGGAGTGAAATCATGGGAGCCTCCAAGTTGTAGCCAGGTTAGTTGCAGGTAACCTAGGAGTCTACTACTTGCAATTGATATCTAAAGTTGGGAGTACTCTCTGGGCCAGTGTGGGTCAGTGGTTGAACATCGACCTATGAACCAGGAGATCCCAGTTTGATTTCAGTCAGGGCACATGCCCCAGTTGCTGGCTGGATCCCCAGTAGGGGACATGCAAGAGGCAGCCGATCAATGATTTTCTCTCATCATTGATGTTTCTATGTCTCTCTCCCTCTTCCTTCTTCTCTGAAATCAATAAAAATATATTTAAAAAAAAGAAAGTTAAAATAAAGTTAGCTCATTAAGACCTGTGTTTGGGGTCTTTGCTAATTCTGATTATGGTCAAAATAAAATTAAATTGTAGGATACTCAGCTAATGTCATAGAGAATTGTTTGGTGTAGCGGGGGCAAACACTCGTCTGGTGTTAGAAGTGTTGTGAGTATGCCAGTCGGGTAAGAGTGAAGGAAAAACACAGAAGTGCTTTTTTCCCCCCAAACAAACTGACATAAATGGGGCCAATCACTTTGTAGATGCAAAACTACCATCCCAGTAGATTACCTTTCAGCAGTGATCCATCCATCCCCCATCTGTCTATCTATCTATACATCCAGTTTTACTGAGCATCTGTGCTCTAGATAAATGTGCAAAGCGTTGGTAAGGGAACTAGTTATGATCCCCATCCTTGTAATGTTTACAGTTTAGTAAGAGAAACACTGGTCAAGCTATTACATGTGTGATGAAACTTATGAGAATTTTCCAGAAGACTATAACAGGGAGACTTAATTTCTCGTTATCCATTTGCCAAGGATTATCTGAAGCCAAATTTTCACATCACAAGGACTGATACCCTGTAGGCTTATTTCTAGAACTATTCCATCAGGAGAATGTCATGGTCACAGCAGGAGAGCAACATCAGGGAAACCTGACACCACCAATGTCTTAAGCAAGGTTCTTGCCATTCACTGTTTTAGGGCCTGGTGTCTTCTGAATCTTCCCCACCCCCTGAAAGTAGAGCAAGATTCACCACATAATAGAACCTCAGTATCATTTGGTTGGATTAAATTGTGCTACAGGTTTTGCAGCATTTTCTCTACCACTGAAGTCTTAGGAAGAACCACATATGCAGCTGCTCTTCTGGAAGCAGAAGTGTGCAAAACAGAGCATGCCCTTGCTCTCCCTACCTATCAGGGGTTCCTACACATTCGAAGGGACAGCGGTGAGGCTATGACCTCTGAGCTTGGCTCCAGGTGTGTGATGCTTGCAGAGACGACACTGTTTTTCTACCTAGTGAGGTCAGTAGTCATCTCACTTTTCAGATGAATAAAATCCACTTTAGATACACAGTCACAGAAAGTTTAACTTGCTTTGTTCACTTCCTTTATCGTGTTAGCTACTTGATGAGTCATTCTAACTTCATCTCATGATTCTTGATAGAATCCTCCCAAATCATCCATTGGCTATTAAACCACATTACTCATCTTGTCATACTTTACTTAATGTGTTATTCTCTGCTGCTACTCCAAGACCAGATTATAGTATGATATGTTTATGTTATTCAAAACATATACTCACTGCTACTTGGTGGCAAAAATAATCCATTGATATTTCGAGGTTTGCTGTGATAAAAGATACAACTGATCTTCACACAGCCAAGAGGTTGAGTTTCCCAGAAGCATGAAATACTGCAGTTTTGCTAAACAAAAAAGGTGGAGAAATGTAATGATCAGATGTCATAAAAAATACCATGAGCTACAATACAATATGAGAAAAAGTATTGCAATTACTGATATAGGATACTGTGTGTGTTTCCTGGCTTTCAGTTTTTTAAGCTCTGCTCTTTAAAAGATGCAATGGAGCCCAACTGGCATGGCTCAGTTGTTGAGCGTGGATGGACCTATAAACCAGGAGGTCATGGTTCAATTCTTGGTCGCAGCCGATTAATGATTCTCTCTCATCATTGATGTTCTATCTCTCTCCCTCTCCCTTCCTCTCTGAAATCAATAAAAATATATTTTAAAAAAATAAAAGATGCAATGAATATTCCTAAAACATATTCCCCCATTTTTCTATGATTTTAAATTGAGCAAAGTGCAAAATGCCTAAAATTAAGTAGTGGAAAAATATGTATTTTCTATTGTTTTATAAGAGTATAAATATTATTGAAGGGAAATCCTTTTAACAAACAATGATGCTGAGTAATTCTACCTGCATTTCCATGTGTCTAAATCTGCAAAGTGGATTTAGACATTTTCCCTCTCTCCATAATGAGCACACAGTGTCACTGCCAAGGGCCTTTTCACAGTGTCGGAATCGGCACTGGGAACCCTGAAAGAAAAAAAGTAAACAGTGTAGAAAACTCAATATATTAGCATTAGTGTTCAACAACAGTAGGCTGCTAATTAATTAAAGAAAATATGAGATCAAATTATAATTTAAAAAACACTACAAATATAAGGCCATCAATTTAAAATTTGACAAATTAGTCTATTTTTTAGTGAGAGATTGACAATATAATCTAATTCAATAACACATCATGTCATGAGTCGGTGATTAAACACTATTCTTTTATTATCATTGAATCCATATGGCTTACTCAGAATAAATGAGACCAGTGATACTTTTGATCACAGTGTAATGAAGAAAGCGAGTGTGTTTTTATAGACTCTCCAGCCATATTCTAATTATGGAGATGCCCTCTATTACTAAACCTTTTTATTGTATAATGTTTTCTCAGTCTATGAAGATACTGTTAAGTGTGTTTATATAAGGAAAGTGAATGGAGCTTACATTTTAAATTGTTATGGAATTTTAAGTAATTATTACATTATGGTACATTAAATATGCTTTATGCCCTTGTTTTACACAGATAAAACAATTGTGCCAATACATGTACATACCAATACTTTTTTATACTAATAAAAGCAGATGTGGATTATTTTAATGGGCTATTATACATTTTTTTATTCTTTGTCTTTTATACATAGATCCATAGTGAAAAAAAAAACTGTAAGGAATTTATTTTAGGCAGAGAGATAGATAACTTACAATAAAAGTATTCCATTAAGTTCTTCTCTATTTTGACACATATTTCATGATTGTTTCTTATCTTTGACCACCCTTTTACTCTGGTCTTCACTCTCTACTCCCTTTTTTAAGAAAAACTATATATATATATTTTTATTTCAGAGAGGAAGCGAGAGGGAGAGAGAGATAGAAACATCAATGATGAGAGGAATCATTTATTGCCTGCCTCCTGCACAACCCCTACTGGGGATCAAGTTCACAACCCAGACATGTGTCCTGACAGGAAATTGAACTGTGACCTCCTGGTTCATAGGTGGATGCTCAACCACTGAGCCACAGTGTTGGAATCAGCGCTGGGCTCCTACCCTTTTAAAAGTGGATCTGTGGATCTCATAGTACAATACTGTGCAGAGAGTCTAGATAAGTCAGTATTTGAACTGTTGGCTCCATTACTTGTTGATAATCATGGTCAATGCATTATTCATCTTCTTTGTGCTTCAGTTTCCTCATATGTGAAAAGGATAATATGACCTCCTCACAGATTGTTTTAAAGGTTATGTGAGATACTGTATTGTGGTTGCTATCATTTTATTGATTGATTAAGAACTTACTACCACATCAATCACTGTGCTAAGTACTTGGAGACATACTGTGAAACAGACAAAACTCTCTGCCCATATAGAACATAAATTATATTATTACTAGAGGCCTGATGCATGAAAATTCATGCAAGAGTAGGCCTTCCTTCCCCTGGCTGCCGGCACTGGCTTCCTCCGGCACCCAAGACCTGGGCTGCCTTCCCTCGGGCCACCCACAGCCACCCAGAACCCGGGCTGGCTTCCCTCCAGCCCCAGCTTCGTCAGGAAAGACATCTGGAAGACGTCTGGTCTAATTAGCATATTACCCTTTTATTATTATAGATTTTTAACCATAAGGTAACAGGCACTAGAAGTGAATCTAATTCTAACAGTCAAAGAGGTTGATTATATTCAGGTTTCCTAGCAGAGATGAAACACCTTAAACTAGATACATCATGCCTTTCACTGGGTTCATTCTGGCATGAACATAAAACTCCAAACATTGAGTTTCTACATTTATTTGGTTTCATTGTGATCCATTAATCCTAATCTCTTAAATATTTTCCCCCAATTAACTTTATAAACCTAATTAATATCTGGCTAATTTGTTTATATTACTTCTTTTCCTTTTTCCATGATATAAAATGTTTGTTTTTACTTAGATTTTTCACAGGGGAAAATTCATTACTTGGGTTAATGAATTTCAAATAAGGAATCAATTTGATTTATTAAACTAAATTTGATAATGACCTGAATTTATTTGAATTTATATGACTGAAACCACATTAACCAAAACATTATGATGTGTCATATTATGTTTCTATATTAGAAATTTGATATTTCAAAGAACCATAATATAGGCAAAGTGCCACATTAAGATGAAAAGAGCCATTGGCATGTAACTGGCATATATAAGGGTAGTTTAAACAAATATTTTAAATTATCACAGATTTCCTCAGAGAAATTCAATATATCAATAATACATGATAATCTTTTACTTCAGATTTTAAATACATAAAATATTTTACATAAAAATAGTAAATTTTGGTTCAGCAATACAAATTATTGCCACATCTTCCTTCATTCTAGAAATCTTTAACATGTGAAGTACTATAAATTGTATATTTACCTTTATGCATGTGGAATTAAAAAAGAAATAGCAGTCATTCCCAACTTCTGCCATTTGCAACTTTCTTGCTGCTAATCCAATGTTTTTTAATATAAAAATTGCAGAAATACAAATATAAGAACTATCAGTGTGTAAGGGGAAAAATAATTTCTTTTCCACAGTCTTTCAGGCTATCAGTATTATTCCTTTAAAACTGACCTCCTGTTGACAGTATATTACACAATAGATACTTCTTAAAGAAATTTAAATTAGAAGATACCTTCTCTAGCTTTGCAGAAATGTTGAAAGTGGTTGCTAGTAAGCACACAAACTCAAACTTCCAGAATTTTCCTCACTGTTATCAAATCCATTGTTTGCTCATCATAAATGACCTCACCTATAACTGTAGGTTAGTTTGCCTTACTGAATACCATGCAGTATTTCTCTTACTCAATTCTTGTATATTAACCAAAACAGCTAGTAAAAATAAAATAGTATATTTTCTTTCAATGTTCTGATTGAATATGAACATAAACTAGCTCATAATTGTATAACTCAAAAGTATGAAGTATTTCAAAGTAAATGGCTATTTTCCTAAACCTTATTTCTACATATGGTTTGAAAACAAAACTGAAGTTTTAGATAGGTGAATATATTATCTATATTTTAAGATAATAAATTATTAAAATATATACTCACTACTATCCACTGATTTTGAAAAAAAATCATTCCAATTGCAATATTTTAATAGGTACCTGAAAATAAATTGGATTACTTATTCATCTTGTAGCTATATTCCATTCATTACTCATCCATCATAAAAGGAGAAAGCGCTTCTTCCTGAAGTAGAAAGGGTCCGGAGCACTTGCAAATTTTGAGACTGTGTTGAAAGCCACGTGATATACTTTGATTGTAGAATGAGACATTTCAATCCGCAGTTGAGTGTTTCTTCATCTTATTATCTTTACTAAAAGTACTGGAACCTAGCAGAAATGAACATAAATATTCATAGTAGGTGACTTAGAAGATGCCATAGAAATGACAGATTACACTAGATTAAAATGTACTTTTAAATTGAAATGCACATATTTGGAAATGTAATAGATCAACATATGGATTCCCATTGTCTAAGTAAAACAGATCAACTTAGTATGAACTTGTTGAATATAATACTTTGGACTAAAAATCTAGGAAATAAAACAAGAAACTAATATTTAGGAGAGAATTGGTTGCCTATAACTTTAAGTGAGAGAGTATATTAAAAAGAACTGGGCAGTATTCAAAGTAAGTTATGAAGTAGAGAATAAATATTTGGCTGAACCCTTAAATATATTAGCAAAGATTTATGGAAAAATCTAATATCTTGCCTTTTACTTTGCCCTACTAACTCTACAAAAAAGTATCCATTTAAGTCACATAAGTTACTGGGGAAAACACCCCTAATAAATATATTTAAGTGGCCTTTACCTCCAGGTAAACTCCTTCTCCACTTAACAAGTTTTAGCTGCATTGGACTATTTGCAATTACTGTTACCAGACACCATTATTGCATGATTACATGTAACACCCTGATTAAAGCCATTGTGAAAAATCTATGTTTTACACCTGGGAAAGGCTAAAATAATGTTTTTACCTCTTGAAGTTTGTTGTGAACAACTACATTCCATTAAACACAGCAAAAGCCAAAATGTGGAATTAAAAAAAAATTTTGTCATTGCAAAGAACAGCAAATAGATCTGTACATTTTGGTAGTCTTTAAAATGCCCGGAACTCTAATCTCTATCTTTTTAACTTTTCTTTTTTTCCTTTTTTTTTCTTTTCCTTATTCACTTTTTTCCTATTATTAAATTCATTCGTTCTTTCTTTTTTTTTTCTTTTTCCTTATTCACTTTTTTCCTATTATTAAATTCATTCTCATCTTCAAGGGAAAGCTATGACCATATCAATGAGGATTTTTACTCCTAGTAATGAAGTGATGAGAAATTTGCCTCTGCAGCTGGGGGTAGGCCCAAAAATTCTGTAAATATTTTGTGTTGGTCAAGGTAGACTCAAATTGTGTCTTTCATGATAAGTGCATGTTAGAACACTAGCACATCAGTCACAGAAGAAAGTCTTTCTTCCAGTTTGTAATCCAGTAACCACTTTAAGTGTGGGGCCAGGTAGTAATCCCTGATGGCTCTTCAGGCTCCTGAGAATCAGGCAAAGCTGCTAGCTACCACCCATCAGAGTAGGAGTCCAGTTTCCAAGCCTGGATTGGTCTTATGGCAGTCTCCTGATTTGACTCCCCTTTCTGCAACAGGCTTTGCCTCAGGCACTAACAAAACAAAAGCACTGGAAATAAAGAGTGCTTTCTTGAGGAATGGGTCAACTTTATTGGTATTATTAAAAAAGCAAGTGGAATGTGTTTTAAGATAATCCTTTCTCAAAAAATGATAGAATGTCGGACCTAGAAGATTCTGTGGCAGTTTGGGAAATGACAGTTGATAGTTGTGAGGGTTATTTGTTGTCCCCTTGAGACTTATGAAGGAAGCTGCTTTCCAGGATTTCTTTGGAGGAACAAAAATGTCACTAATTCTTGACTATAAAATGCTAAGAAGGCTCTGGTCCCAAGTTCTTGCAGCCGGCATCAGGTGAAGCCCCAACCCAATCCTCACTGTTCTTTTGAGAAATAGTCCAAGCTGTTTTTAGTTCTGCAGTTGACTGGCTACAACGACTCAAGCCATTTGGACTCTGTTGGAGCTCATATTAAGATAAACGAGATTCCCATTAAAAAAAATTGAGATTGAAATCTGCTTGCAGGTATTTCTGTGGTTTGGGTTTGCACTCCATAAAGAACATCAGAACCAATTCTGACCACATTACGGTTCAAATCGAGGGGTAATCCAAATGATAATTATTTATTTTGCCCCAGGTGTTTTAATTATAGCATTTTTTTTTTAACGTTCTTGCTGGGAAATCAGTTTTCGTTCAGCTTTGGGATGTCTCTGGATATTTCTAATCTTCTACAGGCTTCCCCCAGGAACTTATTAAAGAGAACAGGCAAGTAGGTTTCATCAGAACGGTATTAAATCGCCATTGAAATGATTAGTTACTTATAAACTTGATATTATTTAATTATCATAAATATCGTCGGTTACTTTGTGTAGTTAAGTACACACATCCCACAAACGGATCTTTGTTTTTTCAAGAACCCGGGGAGAAACACGTGGGAGAGCAGGGGGCGGTGTCTCGGCTCCAGCACTACAACTCCCAGAAGGCACCGCGCCCAGGTACGCTTCCGGCGCACGTCCCCGCCCCACGCTCAGTAGGTGGTCAC